TGAATCGGATTTTGGCTAATCTTATCTTGGTAACCAAACGAGAAAATTAATTACTATAGGGCAAATTACGGCCAACCCCCTAAGTTACGATAACCCCCTTCTGTTAGGGTAATTACAACCACCCCTCAATTATGTATTATCTTATGAAAAGATTCCTCCTAATTTAGGGATGTTAATTCGATAAAACCAAATCGAAATTTCGGCACGCCAACATCTACTACCGTTTACCGAACTAAATACACGATTTGATTCGGTAAATAACCGAATTACATAAATTTTATGTAAAAATATTTAAAAGAAGGGGGTGGTTGTAATTACCCGAACAAAAGGGATTTTTTTCGTAATTTGGCCATACCTCAAGGGGTGGCGTAATTTGCCCATTAATATAACATGTTTATTGTATATGTTTCATTAAAGTGAAACTAAACTTACAGCAGTTGAAACATGAGTGTGTCCGGCGGTGGGACCCTCTCTCGCGAGCCCGAAATCCGAAAGCTTCGCCTCGAAATTGTTGTCCAATAGCACGTTGGACGATTTGAAATCCCGATATATAACCTAGAATAGAACCCCCATTAAAGTACACAACATTCAGCATCAAGTACAACTCATCGTGATTTCAAGATAGAACTCGTCACAAAGACGAAAACAAATCAATGCAGCAATATAAAGAATCTTCACTACTTTGAAAGAATCGAGTAAAAAAAGAAAAAGAGTATTTTTGCAGTTCCGCCCACGAAATCTTTCGAACAACAATAAATAAACCGATCGATAAGAAACACGAGAACTAACTCCTAGATGTGGAAAAAAGCCCGTATTCAAGAATTAATAGTGAATTTGTTAAATATCGGGGATTTAAAAAAAAAAGAAAAGAAAAAAAAAACCTGGATTTCCAATTCTTCGTGAAGATAAGCTAATCCTTGAGCAGCCCCGATTATTATATTTAATCGAGAATCCCACAATAAAGCCGGATAAGCCCTGTTAAAAAGATGATCTTCCAAACTTTTGTTTTGCATGTATTCGTATACTAGTAGCCGCTGTATACCTCTCTCTCCATCGACTGCACAATATCCGATAAGTTTCACGAGATTTGGATGTTCAACGACGCCTAAAAATTGCACTTCTGCCACCCATTGTTTATGGCCCTACGATTGAAATCGAATAAAATTGAATCGACGTAAGTTCCAAAAACAGAGTCTTTAATCAAATATTTGAAAATTTTACGAAGCCCGGCCGGAACACGATTCAATTACCGCGGTACCACATTTATATTACCTGCGTAAGAACTCTTTAAAGGGAAAAAAAAATAGAAACTTTACTCAACAGTTGGATGACTTCGAAAAATATAAAATAAACGCACTTTGCGAAAATATTAATCGCAGAATGTCACATCGATCGGTATCTACAAACGATAGAAAAATTTAAGGGCTCGTTATTCTAATTAAGCGATTCACAACCAAAAGTTATATATGAGCTGAATTTGAAACAAAACTTAGTTTACAACATATAACGAAAGTCGAAAACTCAAACAGTCAAACTCGTCCCTTTATTTTATTTTTTTGTATCTATAACGTAAAACCGCAAAGAACACTTACATACACTAGCGAAGCCAAAATTTTAAGTTTGCGGGAACCAAATGCATTAAAATAGGGATTCGAGAATTGTTGGGGGAGGGGAGGGGGCCATGGCCCCCTCTCTGGCCCTATGCTGGCCCCGCCACTGCTTACATATAGACTCAAAATTGCAAGAGAAGTTAAGACCTTCAAAATAAACCGAAAACGAAAACCCCTCAAGCAAACGAACATAAAACGACAACTAATTCGACCGATTTCTTATCTACAAAAAAACTCAATTAAAAAAAATGCAGAAAACAATACACACGATTGTCATCAAGAATAAAAAAAAAATTAATTTAGCTGTTGGCCATCTCTATTGAGTTTCTTGATAGCAACAATAACAGAGTCACCCTTTTTGCCACCAACGGGGGCGATGGCCCCCTTGTACACACACCCAAAACCACCCTCGCCAATTTTCAATAATCTGCTGAAATTATTAGTGGCCTGCCTCAGCTCGGAGAATGTAAAAACCCTCAAATTATGGGCTTTTTCCTCGTACAGCTCAGGTATACTCCGTGGTGACGTGGCAGCTGCAGAGCCAGAAGATTTTGTAACCCTCTCTGTTTGTGATGACGTGTCTTTGCTCTGGGTTTTCAGAATTGGCGCTGATTTTCGGACACCGCTGCTTTTGTTTCTATCCTTAAAATAATAGAAACACTTCATTTTTTATTTTTATTTTTATTTTTTTGCTTCAAGATTCAATCTTTGAACTGGAAAAGAGAAATTAAACATGAATTAATGAGAACCCATTTGATTAAATTAAAATAAAAATAAAAAAATTAAAAAAAAAAAAAAAGGGAAAAGGGATGGCAGAAAGCTCACCGGAGAAATTTGTTCTTTGAGAAGAAAATCAGAGATTGGTTGAAAAAAGAATTAAACTGTGTGTGTGTGTGTTTTCTTGATAGAGATAAAGTTGAGGTAGGAAAATTAATGCATAATGAGTAAAGATAGATAGAGAAAAGCTGGCGAAGATCAATAAATGCTTTGTTTGGCAATGGATTTGTTTCTGGTTTTTGTTCAACCGATTGGACTCTTCAACTTTCAACACGGTGCAACATTTTCTCTTCTTTTTTCTCTCTCTCTCTCTCTATATGTAAAAAAATATATTTGATTTTTTTTTTATTAAAAAAGTTATTGCTAATTGGCATATGTACTATGTATAAATACTAGTAGGGGAAATCAGAATGGAATTCCCGAATGCCGCCAATTGGAACCGTATTTTTCACTCCGATTTTTGAAGTTTTGATTTCCGAATTTATTTGGAATGACATCAAAGTTGTATGTAAAACTACTGGAAATAGCGGCCACATCCTTGAGGTAAGGTCAAATTCCGAAAAAAATGTCATGTTTGGATATTTACAATCAACTCCCTTAACAGTGGATCGTCTTATATGTCCATCATTGAAGTGTGAAATTTAGTGGAATCTTCTAGATTATATATTCTCCAGTTTGTACCTGTTTTACCTTATTAGAGCTCAACATTTTAAAACAAGATGATCATAAGATGTTTCGCTTAGGTTGTAAATATTATATTGTGGTGCATCAGGAACTGCATTTTTGCACAAAACGAGTACAAACTAGAGAGATTTCCACGGAATCTATAATTTTCTGTTGAATTTGACAACAAAAAGATGAACGTGTAAGAAGATTCATATTTGAGAGGGTGATTGTAATTACTTAAAAAGAAGGTTGTTTCGCAATTTAATCTTACATTGGGGGCTGCCGTATTTTACCCATAAATATTATGAAACTTTTTTATTAAACATAAATAAATATTCCTAATTGACATATATGTATGCATTAACTAATAGATTTTAAGGGGGTTTTATTGAAGAAAAAGTTTGATTTTGTGGGTGATGAAAAATTAAAGGGGGGTTTGTGTGATGACGTGGCAGAACAGGAAAAAAGAAGAACATGGACGATGATGTTTCCTAGTACATACAATCATTTTCAAACTGTACAAAGAAAGATTATTCCACACCGAGTTCTTGAAAATTTATCAACGGTCACAAAAATTCAAAATTGGAGGGCTTTATTTCTTGGAGTTAAGAGAAAAATAAAGTTTATGGTAAAAGAGTCAATAAAAAGAAAGAGAAGAAAGTAAATAATAATTGAAAATAAAAGTTCTTACATGTTTAAATGGGCTAAATAATAATAATTTAAAAAATTATACGGAAATTACATGTTTATAGTTACTTAAATTTATAATTAGAAAATTCGTGTCGACGTACATAGAATGATCGTAGTTCGGACCAAATCGCGATATTTCGATTTAGATAACTTTAGTCACTCAATTTAAAATTGTAATAAATAGCATTCATTTTAATAAAGAAGGCCTAAAATTATTTAGTAAAAGGATATTAATATTAGGACTTTGCTAAATAGCCAGAATTTGGCTGGCCAAAATAGCATTTATTTCACTTTTTTTGTTTTCTTTATATATTTAATACCATTTATGCCCTTAATTGTTTTGTTTCTAAAATCTCTTCCTAATTTCTCTCCCTAATATGATTTTTTTAATTTATTTATCATTATTTGGTAAAAGGATTTTAATATTAATATATTATATTACTTAAAATGAGGAGTGTGAATATGATTTTTTTAGTAAGTATTTAGTAAAAGGATATTAATATTACTTATTTTATGTTCATTTATCAGTAATTATTTTTTAATAAATAGCAAAAAATTAAGTAACCAAATATTATTGTAGATGTATTTGTGATGTGCAAGTTTTTGTCTAGGCAGGAAGAGTGTGACACGACTCAAAAGTCTTGCTAAATTAATTTTTTTTATTGATAAAATTCTCTAGTGGTTAGGTTGTGGTTGTGGACTTGACTATGCACCAAAACTATATAAAAGCTAAATTTATTTTAAATAGTTCATAGGTTTTTAGATTTAATAAGTTTTAAAAAAATGATAAATTGCTAAATTTTATTTTTAAAATTAATTATGTAATTTATTAAATAGCTGATAAACTCTTAGAGGATCGTATGGTTAATTAAAAATATAATAGGGTCATATGTACAAAGTTCAAACCTTAGGGAGTTAAGTGCTATTTAGCTTTTATTTTAATTATATGAAATTAAGCCTCTAAATATTTGTCAACACTACCAAACAATTGACTCAAAATTCGTTCTTTTTTATTTTTTAAATTAAATAAATGTAACTTAGGCAAAATATCTTGGATGTCTACATCTTGTAATTTGCATATTGTGGCCACTAATCTAACTATAAACCACTAATCAAATTTTGTATGCCCTATCAAAATAATATGGAATAATTATGCATCTAGAAAAAATAGATGCTTGATCTATATACTCAACATTATTTAAAAAGATTAATTGTATAAAAAAAATTATTTAAAAAGACATTAATCGGTGGAATTAAAGAGCGTAAAGTCTAATAACTCGAGTCTGATTTTATCTGCCAAACATTTTCTAGGTCGACACTGTCAAATAAGATAAACAAATATCGATTATCTAAATAAATTATTGAATTATTGATGGGCTAAGGCCCAATTAAATCAATTAATCTCAAATAAAATTAGAAAAAATAAAATATTTATCTAAAAATATATATATTTTTTTTAATAAAAACACCTTTAATTAAGATATTGGGCCGCAGCAAAAAAGCCCAATAAATGAAGCAAAACAGCCCTTTAGGGCTACAAATGCAGGCCTTTTGTCACTATATATATAAATTTTACCAGTAAATAGGTTGAACGAATTAGCTTGCAAAATCTAGGGTTTTGCCGTTCCTCCTCTGAAATCGAAGCTCCGCTCCAATGGTATTCTCTCTCTTCCTTAATCTCTCTCTCTCTCTCTCTCTCTCTCTCTCGCACGCACAAACACACATTCTGAAGCATAAGCTGTTACTCTGTGATTGAAAATGCTGTTTGGTAGTGACGTCATTATTTAATTTTGTATTTATTCGATGCGATAAAGATATTTGATTTTTCTTTTAATATTGGTTGATAGTTTGTTAAATTTCGACATCTCTCAATTCCAGATGCATATTTTGTTTTTGCCAGAAATGATTTTTTTGATATGAATCATTAATTAATTAATTAATTTGGTTAATTGCCTTTGGAAATGCTGCATCTGTGAACTAATGGTGGTGAATGAATTACTTCATATAAATTCATTATTTTTTTTTTGAAACAATTATTGAATTCAATGTGTAGCAACTAACTAGCCAGTGCTTTTTTTTAATTGAAAATTACAACTCATAATTTAAAGATCTTGTTATCCAGCTGTTCATTTTCTTGGTTTATTGCTGTATAATCATAGCATTTTATTTGATTTGTGTAGGCTAAAAGAACGAAGAAGGTCGGGATTGTTGGGAAATATGGTAGGTTATCTATCTTATTTCTATTACTACCCGTTTTCGAAATTAATTATTGTCTGGTAAATGAATTTTATTTAAATTAAAAATTACATTAGCATCGTTTGATGTGTTTTTCGTTACGTTTTAGGAACGCGATATGGTGCTAGTTTGAGTTCGATCCCCCAATCATAAGAGACAGGATTGCGCA